AAGTTTTAGGATCTGTTGTTTTGGGTAGAAATGTTAATCGTACAACAGGAAGAAATCATTGGGTTGCCGTCATGCAAAATCCAAGAAAAATGATATCGATTTGGCACGAATTAATATGAAATTAATTTAATTATATAAATATATATATATATATATATATATTAAAAGTTATTGATAGAATGTACATAAAGAAAATGGCGAGTAATTCATGTTCGTATTAATAAGAATTTAATAATTTAAAGCAAATGCGAAACTTTTTTTTTTTCTCGTGGAAATCCATCTTTATTATTATTATTATTATTTACGTGCGGTTTTATAAACGTTTAATTTTTAATGTTTAATGCCAAAGAAAGATATTATAAGCTTAATAATTATAAAAAATAATGACTGTTTTTTTTCTTCGTTTTAAAAATGTAACGCTTTAATTTTGTTTTTCCCTTATCTAATCTTTTTAAAGTTTCTGATTTTTTTTTTTTTCTTTGTTTTTCGATAATAAATTGAGGAAAAAACTTATTTATTTATTTATTTATTTTTTTTTAAGTATTTTTGCGTTGCGATATTAAAAAAATTATTTTTAAAAATTAAATAATTCGAGATTTTTAAATTTGAATATAAAAAAATTGAATTTCTACGGTGATGTCGAGCGTTTATTTCTATTTACGAGTTGAAATTTGTTTTTTTTTTTTTTTTCATAAACTCCCATAACACAATGTTTTCATACATTAATAAAATATTAAATAAAAATTTCAATAAATATGCGACGTTAATAAATAAATAAAATTTTAACGTCAAATAATTTATATTTTGATTTCAAAATATATTTTGGCGGTTTTCTTTTTCAAGGTTACTTTTTTTTTCTGCTACGTATTTAATTACTCTATGATATTTTTAAATATGTTCCATCTTTGACGTTTAACCGTTTTTAATTTAACACGTGAAAAATTTATTATTTTCATTTTACAACGGCATTTATTTATTATTTATTCGATATTAATTAATTTATTAATATTTATTATTTAATTATTTTAATTTGAAATTATTAAATCATTTATTAATAAGTCCGCATATTTTTTCACACTTTGATGTTTGTAATATTTGCTAAAGTATGGTTTTAAATTGAATTTTTTTAATAAATAAAATTTTTAAAATGTCAAATTATTATTTATATATGAAAAATCGATTATTTATTATATATTATTAAAATAATTCAAGTTATAAATTTTAGTTTTTTATGTTATGATAAACACACATGAGGTAAATTTTATGAATTTCATTAATGCAACAGGTATGCAAAAAATATGTATTTTAACATAATAATATTATTTTTTTACAGTTATAAAAACCAATATTGGTTATTTAAAATAAAAACTATGGAAATTTGTACAATATTATGAGGATTATTTACATATAAAATGTAGATTTTGATTTGTGAAATTTCTAGATGAAATATTTATTGGATAATATTATGAATTTAAAAAAAAAAATTGAAATCATGTGAAGTAACTATGAATAAAATTTTCTTTTCTTTTGTATCGAATGATAAATGGAGTGAATCAAAACTAATGATATAATTATTTTTAAAAAAAATTTTCAAATAAATTCTTTCGAGTTTCTATTTTTATAAGACGAGACACAATTTTTTTTGTGATACTCATGGCAGGTTTGTTCTTTATACCTTACATTACTTTTAATAATAATAATAAAAAGAGTAAAATTAATAACATGAAAATATATTTTTAATTAATTTATATGAAAAATAATTAATTATCAAAATATTAAATATTGTAATTAATTATGTTTTATCGATTTCATTACAATTGAATACAAAAAAAAATCAATTTTCTTTTCGAAATAGAAAATAATCAATTTAATTTTATACAATTTAATTTATTATTAAATTTTAATTTGTGTAATTTATATTAAGTAGTAATAATAATAATAATTTGTCAGGAGGAAAAAAAAAAAAAAAAGTCTAAACCTCGAGTGGTGATTCATTATTTGTAATTTATCTTTACCGAGAATGAATTATAACAAATTGTATATACTTAAAACAAATACTTACCTGTGGATTAAGTAATAAATTATTGACTATTTATATAAATTGTTTTTTTTAGAATTATGATGAGTAATAATTTATTAAAATGAAAATATTGTGATAGGTATCAGTCTGATAGATATATGAGTGATAAAAATATTATTCGATCATAAATAAAAAATAAAACTTAAATAGATTAAATATAAAATTCTATTTTAAAAATTATCTAATAAATTATCATTTAAAATCATTTTTAAACAAAAAAAACAAAAGTAAATTTATTATTATTCAAGAATTGGAAAATTGAAACGTTGTTGATTATTGATTTTTTTTTTTATGTATTTCAGGTGATTAAAAAAAAAAAATGGCGCCAATGCTCTACGTTGGAATACGTTAATTTTTCAAAAATTTTTTCACATCCTTCTCCTATTTAAAAAAAAAAGAAAAAAAAAAAAAACTTCATTTATACGTAAATCTAACGAATCTTTTTTTTTCAAAAATTGATTTCGTAATAATAAAACTTTTAAAACAAAAGAAAAAAGTCATCAATGGCGGTTAAAAAACTTAAAACTATATCATTTTAAATTATGCACCTGATTTAGTAAATATGAAAATGCTTCAGGTAATACCTTTACATTGATTCAGTGTAATTAATTACTCAGTTTTTATTAAAAATTTATTTATTTTTTTGCAGGTAATATTTTCCGTTTGTGAAGTATAGGAAATAATCGGAAAATTCAAAAATATAATAATAATAATAATGATAACTTGAACGAAGATAGTAGAAAATAGATAACGGGCATAAAGCAACATTCCAAGGACTTATTACTTTTGATAATAAAAATTACTTTGTATTTAAATAAAAAACTCATCAGTCGAAATCTTTCTTCGTTGGCAAATGTATGTTTAAAAACAAAAACAGAAAAAATCATCCGTTGATTATTATTATTATTATTATTTACGGTTGTTTTTTTTTTTTTATTTTAACCGACGATGGATAGAAAAGTTTTGGCATTTTTATTTTGTTTAACCATATGTTCGAATATTCAGGTACGACAAAATTATTTAACATTATTATTATTATTATTTTTTTGTTTTATTATTTTGCAAGTATTTAATTGTCACGAGTACTTTTTCAGTCATCCCACAGCAAATTTCATTCGTATCGTGCTGCTGTCGTCGAATATCATCCTGTTGTTAAAGATACAAACGAAGCAAGTCTCAACGAAAATTTAAAAGCCTACGATTACGCCATTAACGATGCTCATTCGGCGGTAAATAAAAAATTTTTTTTTTTATATTTAAAATCATATATTGATAATGATAATAAAACCCATTGAAGTTTTAAAGGATGTTCATGTCAAAAATGTTTCGGAAAATTCAAAAGAATATTCGATGGGGGTGTGTAAAAATCAAAACGGAAACTTTTCTATATTAATCATCATCATCATTATTAATTTTTTCATTTTTGTAATTTTCCGTTAAAAATTTATCATCTATCTTTTCCTCTTCTCTCTCTCTCTCTCCCTTTTTTGTCTTCTTATCAGTCATGTATGATTTTGAAAAACAATCTTTTTGTTTTTTTTTTTTTTTTTTTTTAATATCTGATAAGAAATTATTCATAAGTAAATAAAGTTATTATTATTATCATTATTTTTAATCATTTCACGATTATAACGTGGAAAAAAATAACAACTTTAATTAAAATATTTTTTAATAATAATAATAATAAATTTTACTATTATTTAATGTTTCCAGGAAGCTGATATTATCGTTTTTCCCGAAGGAAGTTTAACGAAAACAATTTTTTCCACTGTTCCCGATCCATTGCAAAGGATAACACCTTGTGTGAATGAAGTTACAGCTAAAACGGTACAAAAACAAAAACGTTTTAACGGATTTTTATTAAAAAAAATTGATAGTAAATTATAATATATATGTTTATATTATTTAGATAATGGAAAAATTATCGTGCATGGCTAGAAAATATGGGATTTACATTGTTGTTAATTTACCGGAAACAAGACTAGTACCGGATACCGAAACAAATCAACAAAAAACGTTAAAATATAACACGAATGTTGTTTTCGATAGACAGGGAACCGTTGTTGCCAGGTACTGATTTTGTTGTTTAGGTATTGTTTTGGTTAGAAAATAATATAATATATATTTCATGTAATTTTCAAGGTACGCAAAATATAATTTATTCGATGAAATCACAACGAACAAACCTGATAAACCTGAAATGTCATTTTTTTTAACGGATTTCGGAGTTCATTTTGGTACTTTCACATGTTTCGACATTTTATTTCAAGAACCGACTTTGATGCTTATCAAACAATACGGAATAAGTAATTTTGTATTCACGTCTCAATGGTTTAGCGAACTTCCCTTTTTGACAGGTATTTGTTTTTGGGCATGATAAATTTTAACTATTATTGCAGGTTGACGTGACATTTTGAATTTCCATTTAATTTTCTTTTTTTTCCAGCCATTCAAACGCAAAAAGGATGGGCAGAAGTCAACGATGTTAATTTACTCGCGGCCGGATATAACGATCCGAGAAAAGGAAGCACGGGAAGTGGGATTTACCACGGGAAACACGGGTCACTAACACAATACATGTCGAGCAAAAAAGGAAGCGTCGTACTCATAGCGGATGTACCCGTGTACGATTTTAAACGCGTGGAAAAACCACAGCCGAAAGAAAAAAATTCGAGCGTGATAAGTCGATTGATTGAAAAAACAAAATCGGAAAATAAAATAACAAATTTAACGGTCGATGATTTCAAATTGTTATCCGATCAAATAGAATTGTTCGAATCGGCGAAAATAGAAAGCGGAATGGATTTCGAAACGGAAATATGCAGTCATAGAAATTTTTGCTGTCAGTTCAAAGTTCGAATGGATAAAAGAATAACAAAAGACGGCGACGGCGACGACAACGGAGTCAATTACAGAGCAGTCGTATTTAACGGTGTGAGAAAATTCGGTTTGACAACAACGGGAGGAGTTCAAGTTTGCGGCGTTGTATTTTGTAACGGTCCGAAATTGTCTAATTGCACGACGCGCGGACTCAAATCGAAAAAATTATACGAATTTACACGGTTGGAAATAAAGGGAAATTTCAAATTGAGAAATTCGTTGCAGTTTCCGTCGACACTAACGGAAAAACAAGAACTCGAACCTTTGCCCCCCCATAAATATTTTTACAAAACGGTTGAAAATGACGATGAGAAAGTCGTTACGATGAAACTCGATTGGCCGGTCGATGATTTATTAACCTTCGGTATTTGGGGAAGAGATTTTACGGTTGATGGTAAACCGCCATCTTTACCCGTTTCGAACGCATCCAAACAATCATCATTATTAATATTAATTTCCGGTGTTTCGATTGTTTTATTATTGTTCAATCGTTGATTTTTTATTTTATTTAAATTTTTATTTATTTTTTTATTTGTTTTTATAATTTTTGCTTTTCTCAAGTTTTTTTTTTTTTTTTTATAATGGCGGCTACGTTTAAGTATTAACGAAATCAAATTTTTTAACGGTTTTACTACCTTTTTTAATTTTCTCTCTCTCTCACTCTCTCTTTCTCTCTCTATTCATTTTTTTTTTATTATCGTTAAAAATAAAATAATAATAATAATAATGATGGAAAATTTCGGTTTAAATTTGAGGTTTTTTTTTTTTTTTTCACAGGTTGCTTTACCGATGTGATTTTAACCGATGTGAAAACGAAAGAAAATGAAAAGGTGGGGGGTGGAATGGGGGGCGGAAAGAGAAAGAGAGAAAAGAAAAAAAGAAAAAAAAAAAAAAAAACGCGAGAGAACCGAGGGAAAAATTTTTCAGTGATAACGGAGAATTCGTTTCGTTACATTTCGACCACGAGAAAATTCTATAAAGAAAAAATAGAAAAGTTTTCTCGGCCGGTAAAATAATAAAAAAATAATTTTTTATTAAAAAAACGGTTATTAATAAATTATTAATAATAATAATAATTTGTATACGTTAATTAATCGTGTTTATTCATTATTATTATTATCGTGTTTTTTTTTTTTTTAAATTAAAAAACAGGTAGTAATAAGATTTATTAACGAAGGATTAAAAGGAAAATAAATTAATAATAATAATAATAATAATACGACATACATAATTATTTAATAAAAATAATAATAATAATAATAATAATTTTTTTTTGTTATTTTTACTAAATTCGAAACCGGTTATCGTTATTATTATTATTGTTTAAAAAAAGTCATGATTTTAATAAAATTGGGAAAATAATAATAATAATAATATTTAAAAAATTAAATTTTTTTTGTTTTTTTTTTAAGGGGAGGTGGTGGTGGGGGGTTTAATAAGAAAATTGATGGAAGGAAAGAAAATTTTTGTCTTGCATGTCTGTTTGTGGTTGTTTTATTCGAATTTGAAAAATGAAAGAAAAGTTTGAGGTTTTTATATTTTTTTTTTTTTGGGGGGGAGGGGGGGTTTCCGAAGCGTCCTTAGGCCATCGTTAAAATTAAATAACACGTTTGTTGTTGTTGTTGTTGTTGTTATTGTTACATTTTTACTTTTATTGATTTTATTATTTTTATTTTTTTTTTTATTGTTGTTGTTTGTTGTTACCTGACAAAAGAAAAAAGAAAAATTTTATGGAAATTTTTTTTTTTTTTTTACAAGTTTTGTTTTAAGTGTATGTTTGTGTTGGTTGAAGAATGTTTAATTAACAAAAAAAGAAAATTAAGAGGAGAAAGAGAGAGAGAAGGGGGAAGGGAGGGAAGTGAGAAAAGGGGAGGAGACGAAGGGAAGAGGAAGGTAATGGAAGTCGAGTGAAAAGTAAGTTTTATTTTTTTTTTTTTTTATTTAAAACAAAAAAAAAAAAAGTAAAAGAAAATTTTTCATTTCCTTTTTTCTCTATTAAAAAAGAAAAATAAATTGTGAAGAGTATAATTACTGTCTGGTTAAGAATGGTGAAGAAAAAGTAAAGAAAAAGAGAGAGAGAGTGGGAAGAAAAGATGCAGAGAGAGAGAGAGACTAATAGAGAAGGATGCTAAGAGGAAGAGAGAGAGAGAGAGAGAGAGAGAGTGCTTGGGTAAGTGAAAAATGTTACGTTTTACAAAAAAGAAAATTTTTTTTTTTTATTTGCACAAAATTTTCGTCTTGTTTAAATTTGGATTTTTAATATAAAAAATCCTGTTAAAAAGAAAAGAATATATAAATATTTCAAAACCACAAAATATATTTATAAATTATTTAATAAACGTTTCTCTCTCTCTCTCTCTCTTTGACGTTTTTTAAATTCAAAAAGTTTTTAATGTTAAAGTTCGAATATGCGATGACTTTACGATACAATTAAATTCTTCCTTTTTCTCTTTTGTAAAAAAAACCTCCCCTCCCTTCAGCCCCCTCCCCTTCCCTCCCCCCGCAAAAGACACGCACATCAAGTTCGTTCCATTACCCGTACGTATGTCAAAACCATATTTTATCATCATTATTATTATCATTTAAAATTAGCCTTTTAATGTATTTAGTTTTTGTCTAGGAATCCGACGCCATTTTCCAATTTTTCCTTTTCAAATCTCCTTTTTTTCTTTAAAAGAAATTTATTTATTTATGGATATCGTTTTTTGTTTTCGTTATCGGTAAATAAAATAATAATAATAATAATAATATTTATAATTTCAAGTAATCATATCGGGCGAGAAATAAAAAAAAAAAACAAAAAATATTAAAAATCGATCGATGGATTCCGATCGGTGAAAAATTAAAAATAACATTTTTGTTTCTTATTATTATTATTATTACTACTCTATGATCATAGAGTGAATAAACAACGACGATAAAACGATGAATTCGCGTGAATTGATTTCTTTTTAAGAGTTTAATTTTTTGTTTTTTTTTTCGAAAACTTTTTTTTTCTTTTTTCCGTTAAATTTGAATTTCATCGAATTTTAATTATCTTATCATTATTATTATCATTATCATTATTATTTTTATTATTAATATTATTATTATTATTATTTCTAATAAAAATTTTAATTTATTTATTAATTTAAATCCGACGAATCTTTCGATTCATTCGTTTTTCATAATTTTTACGCCATTTTGTTTTTTAATTTCTTAATAAACATAATCATAATAATAATGATGATAATAATAATAATAATAGCATTATTATTAAAATTTTCGTCGGCTCTTAATGATAATTAAAATGTTTTTTAATAATCGATTTAATATAACGAAAAAAAAACGTTTTTTTTTTTGTATTTATTTTTGTCCAGATGATAATTATTCGACATTATTATTATTATCATCATTATCATTTTTATTATTATTATTATTATTATCACTTCTGAACACGACATGATTTTGTTTCTTTGTATGGAGTTTTTAAACATTTATTCCAGGTTTCCTCTACCTGAATCCTCAGGAATAAATCCTCGTTGTTATTATTATCGTGGAAAAAAAAAAAAATTTTTATGTATATATGCATACGCGTTTGTTTTTAATTTAAATTCTTTTTTATTAAGAGAGAGAGAGAGAGAGAGAGAGAGGGGGGGGGGTGGAAAGAACAAATAATACAGCAGGTAAATAAAAAAGAAAATTTTTTAAAAATTATTTTAATAATAATAATAATAATGATTAACGAGGGCGGATTTTGAATAAAAAAATAATAGTAGTAATAATAATAATAATAATAATAAAAATGGGTAAAATTAATAAATTTTTTTAAATTGAAATTTTATTGTATTTCTCTCTCTCTCTCTTTCTCTTTCTCTCTTTTTGTTTATATTTCATTCTCTCTCTTTTTTTATTTCACGCTCTTTCTCTTTCTCCCTTCGAATTTTTCCACCGTTTTTCTATTTTCTCTTTGTTCTTTCTCCCTCTCTCTCTCTCTCTCTCTCTGAATGTTTTCTTCTGTTCTCTTTCTCTTTCTCTCTCTCTCTCACTTCCTTTTCGAGTGTACTCATTTTTTTTTTTTTCTTTTTTTTTTTTATTTGTTATTTGATTTATTTGTTTTGTTTAAATATTTTTTTTTAAAAACAACATAACCCTTAAAAAATAATAATAATGATGATGATGTTGATGATGATTACTTAATCGAATAAAAATACAGAAAGGTGGGGGAAAGGAGAGCGGGAGGGCAGGTTTTTTTTTGTTCTTAAAAATTTTAAATAATAACGAAATGAATAAGCAAAAAGTTTTTAATCAGAAAACAAAAAAAAAAAAAAAAAAAACAAAAAAAATTTTTTTAAATAATTTAAATTTTCCAAACGATAATTTTTGTTATAATCGTACACAAAAACTCTCGAATCGATTGTTCGATTTAAATTTAATTTTCGATTTTATTCTCCATTAAAGAAAAAAAAAAAAAAGGAACACGAACGTTTGAATTCTTTCCAAAAAGTTTTCCATTTTTTTTTTTTTTTAACGTATAAATCACATTTTCCATTATTATCTTTCATTCTTTTTATTTTACAAACTCTCCATCATCATCATCATCATTATTATTATTTCTTTTCTTTCAACAACAACAACAACAACAGCAGCAGCATCAAATAAAAAAAAAATCCATTTCTTTCTACCAAAAAGTTTTTCTTTTAATTTTATTATTAAAATTTGAAAGTGCTACGTTAATAATAATAATAATAATAATAATAATAATAATAAGCCAACGGCCATAGCGTGCTGGTCACACCGGTTCCCGTACGATCACCGAAGTTAAGCAGCATCGGGCGTGGTGCAAACTTGGATGGGTGACCGTTTGAGAACGCCACGTGCTGTTGGCTTAAAAGAGCAAAAAAAAAAAAAAAAAAAAAATGAGAACAAGACAAAGTAAGAACCAAAAACAAATCTTGTTCTACTGTCGACCTGAGGCAGCTCGACGAGAATGTGAATTTCACTGCTTCTGACCTGGCCACTCCAAAGATGTTAGTCACCGGAGCCCAGTTCAGGAGACAAATCGTTCCCATCGAATAAAGATGGACTCAGGAAGACTTTCAAGAATTGATGTGGTGCTATCTTATAATAAGTGGCACCACCGAAATTCGAGTATTTGTCCCTAAGGAATCGGGTAGAAACCTCGGATAAATACTTAAAACCCCCGACAAGTAGCCTTGTCGTGTTTAATGGTGGATAATAATAATAATAATAATAATAATAATAATAAAAAGAGTTTTTCAATAATTTTTTCTTTTTTTTTTTCTTCTGCTTTTCTTTTCTTTAACCGACATGATAATAATAAATTATTTTTTCTTTTTTTTTTTTTACCTTTTGTTAACTATTAAATGTAATTTTTTACTTTTAAAAAGTTATTATTATTATTATTACTCTCTCCCGAATATTATTTTTAACTTTTTTTTTATTCGCTCTTAATATTTTATCATTATTATTATTATTCAATTTGTGACGTCATG